CATTACTTTTGATAAATGTTTAAATAAATTATGAGTGAATTATACTTTTGAGTGTATATTTCACAACATTGTTACTTGTAACTAGGTACAATAAGAAATTTTTGCACATACAGGTACATAACAGGATTGTCCATAATACTAAACAGATATTTATAATTTAAATAAATAAGTATAAATAATTTATATGTTCATTCTATTTATACTTCTTTCTTCATTGACTTATTAAAAGATGTTTTTCTACTTTGACAATAAAATAAAATAAATTTAATATATCAAATTATAAATCTAAATACCAACAAAACCACAATAAAGTTATAATGAAAATCATTTTTTTTTAAATCCATAATAAATAAAAGCTAATTCAAATTCACAATAATACTCAATTAAACGAAATATAAAATTGTGATGCAACTCGGTCTTCTCTAGCAATATCTTTATGATTTTCGCCAAAGTGGTCACTGCTTGTAGTCCAAGGCCAGCCACTTAGGCAACCGCCTAGAGCCTCAAAAAATATGGCTTGGGCCCAGGGCCTCAAAACTCATAGGAATATCAGCAAGCAACAGTCCATGTGTGAGTCCAGCACCAGCAGTTTAACAATCCAACAGAAAACAGGAAGGAAATTGAAGGGACGGGAAGGAAATTGAAGGGACCGATTCAACCAAAAGGTAAGTCGTCTACTCGTCTTCTTCCATTCGGAGGATCAGAATTCCCAAATCTGAAGATTGAAATCTCCCTTCGGCCTCTCCAAAAACTTTGCTGTTAAAGTTTTCTCTTTTTTCCGTTAGTGAACCACTGGTCTACCCATAAGTTTTCTATTTTCCTCCAATCCAACCGGTGTCTTGCTGCAGCTCTTACTCATCTCCACTCTCCAGCGGCGAGCCCTGTGTGCTCATCCATTTAGGTATTAACTCTTTAGGTCACATTTATTGAATATATGTATTTATCATTTTAACCTGTTTGCCTTGTTCTGCCAAGAATCATCTTTTGATAACTTGTCTTAATTCTTATTCATTATTGAAATTAATTTAGTTAACCTTGTTTATTGAACAAGTTTGTTATTCTTGTCTACATTTCGTAAAACTGTTGTTAATCTCCTTTTTCTAACCCAGATGACGGTTCTTATGATATATATTTTCTTGTATAAATGAGCATATCTGGTAAGTTTTTATTTTAATTTCCTTCTATTTCTTCTGAGTCATACAAACTGCTAGAGTTGTCTTTGTGATATAGCAATTAGAAAGCCATCATTTGTATAGCATATTCTTGAGGAAAAAAAATTATTGGTGATTTTCTAGAGATATGGTTTGGCCCAACTTTTACTGTTAATGGGGATGCAACACTGAATTGGGATTTCTGAATTTAGAATTCTGTCCTTGGATTTTTGGATTGTAGAATGATGATTATGGGTAGAATTGTGGAAGAATTTTGAATTTGTGGATTTCAGAATTCTGTCCTCTTCATTCTGGATGGAAGAATATTGAAACAATGAAATTCAAAATGTGAGAAGACTAAATATGATGTTAGTTTAATCTCTCGGGTTGTAAGTGATATTTTATTTTGCAATTCTATCTTTTAGATTGTATGAAGTTTTCATTTGAATATAGATATATATTTTTTATTTAAATATTGTTACATGTGTAAAAAAAAAAAAAAAAATATATATATATATATAGGGCCTCAAAATAATTTTTCACTTAGGACCTCCAAATTCTCAGGACCGGCACCGCGTAGTCTCTTTGCTTTTGGTCCTGAGAAAGAGAATTGATGGGTTTTCGGTGCTTTTTGAGCGTTAAAGGATTTGAGTACGAAGTGTAAACCATGAACTATCAATCTACTAGTGGATTGATTTGTTTATCAAGTTAACTAGTCTATGTTACGTGTGATGCAGGAGCTGTACATGAATTATGATTTGGTTAGCGTATGTATTGAATATGTTTGAAAATATATCGGAAGATGGAATTATTGGCAAGGAACTAACCAACAAATAATTGAGATAATAGTATACATATTGATATGTTTGATTGTGATTTGTAAATTCATCGAAATTAATCATGTGTTTGCATTACAGTCAATGATAGATAAGAGAGAATAAAAATTAATCATTAATTACAGAGTATAGCCAAGATAAAATAAATAATGACTGATTTTTGAGATGGATGATGTAGGGATTATATATACATTATTTGTCATTACTTTTTTTGTTTGGCAACTTTTGATCAGGAAATTATACATACTTAACAAAATAGAATTTCAAGATCAAATTTACAATGAAAACAAATTTTACAAAACGAAATAGCAAAAATTTCACAAAACCACACAACACTCTTGTCAAAAGGTTGGTTTTACGAAAAATATTTCGACTACCATTTACTTCAGTTATTCTTTGTGAGCAAAAGGATTTGTGTCTAAACTTATGTTTTCATCACAAGCCACTTTTGAGCTGGAGCTCTCATTGGAAGATTTGAAAAGGGCTTTTTTCGCTGGAGGTGGCCAATCTTCTTGATAGTCTGTACTAAAGTTTTTCCCAACTGCTGTAACCACAACCTGACTGTCAACGTTTGTTTGGATTTTTCGTCGTTTGTTTGGATTTTTCGTTCAAGACTTGTATGATCAATATTTGCTTGAATTTCTTGTCCTGGACTTGGATGGTCTAAGTATATTATAGAGATGATATCAAATCTGTAACTTGATGAATTAGGTTTATTTTGCGATGCTTTTAAATAAAAAGCTCGTTTAGTATCCTACATTTTTTTAATGGTTGCTTCGAAATTTGTTTTTGAACTCTGTGTTAATTTTAAATTGTATTAATATTATTCTACTAAAATGTGTACTGAATGGCAAAATGTTTGAGATAATTTGGATTTCTTACAAATTTGGTTTCCTCCATCAAAGACTGTGAAATTGTAAATAATAGTTTCTCAACTAGTTCACCAATTGCATTTGCACCGATTGATCCCTTGACATCTGAAAGTCGCACATATGCTCTAGCCCTAAAGTGAAAAAGAAATTAGTATTAATAGATGCAAAGTAATAAAGAGAAGTAGAAAGGTCATGCATAAATAAATATTTTACCTTCACCAAATGAAGTACAAAATGAAAAGTAATTAATTGTTAGTGTATTTTACCGAAGAATAGCTTTGGAATTGGGATTCTTGCAAAAAATACAAAGATATGTTTATCCAAAACCAACATTCGACCATCTAAAACAGTTGTTGTAGGCCATGTACCAAGATTTGATATCAATTTTGTCTGTTGTTGCTGTACCGTTTACCCAATAAAACTTTCCCTGTTACCAGTATAGATGTACTTGAAGAAATTACAAGGAAAAATAAATAATATGATTGAATATATCTTGTAATATATATCTTTATATGAAGAAATAAATACAAATTGAATAGCATACGTAACCTTAATATTACCGCTAGAAGGCGTCACTGAAAATTTTGAATAAGAGTAAATTTACTTTGCACAGGTGGAGAAAGGTTTGTGGGGCTTTTGTCCATGTATGATTTTTTCAATACAAAATCATCTATTTTAATGGAATTTGTTCTTACCCTAATCAAAAGACATAAAGATAATTAGTAACTCCAATAGTAATGTGTGGAAAAATAATCGAGAGGGAAAAAAAGAATAATAAAATATAGCACTTTGTACATACCATTCTGTCATTTGTTTTACTGCGTTGAAAGGTGTATTTATGAAGAAAGTGGAACGGACTTTCGTGGACAATTTTAAACCTATATAATATCAATATGGAGAATGTGTAAAGGATGTAATATATGCCTTAAGAGGAGTTTAAATAATACAATAGAACATACCAAAGAATGATGTAACCTTTAGACGGGTTGCAAAGATGACTAACTTTTTGTCAATAATGTCTGCTATCAGTAAGAATTCTTTGTCAACAAATGAATCCCAAAGTGTAAGCACCATTGTTTTGAAATTCATGTCTAGAAGTATGATATCTTGTAACCAAGTTTGGTTCCCATCTTTGGATTGAATTAATCGTTTGGGTGTCATATCAACTGCAACTGTAAGTATATCTGCGAATTTGAAATGAGCCATCAAAATTTCTTTTTTCTGAACATAAGCAGTACAAATTTAAAGGAAACTATATTTCTGTAGAATCAGTATATGATTATTTAATATCTATGAAATTTTGTCTTACTTAAATCAGCATCTGTATCCATGTATTGTTCGAGTTTATGAAACTGTGTCCGTAGATATGTTGAGAATACAAACTCTAGATTATCTTCATTCAGTTATTCAATACGAGTTTCTTCAAATATTATCCATTGTAGAGAGCCAGTCGAATATCTATAGTTTATCGTATTGTTCTTCACGTAAGCTTTCGAAATAGTATAAGTTTTTCTTAGAACAAGTTGATTCTCAAAAGTAGTGATATTGGAATCATATAAGTTAGCCTGAATAGTATTACCTTGAAAAATGATAAGGAACAATATAAATAACTGTAATATACGTGATCTTAGATTAAGAAAAAAACAAAACAAAAAACAAAAAGAAATGAAGAAAAAATGTATGAAGAAGAGTTACCTGAGTATCCATTAACATCAAATGCTGGTACCTTACATTGCTTTGTCTCGAAGGCTTTGGTGATTGTTTTTCTACTACAATCAC